GCTCAGAGAAGCTGTCACTCCAAATGAAGTTTGTTCAGGTAATCAGAGCGGGGAAATCTTGCCACGAGACAGCTCCAGGCTGGAGTTTTGTGTGCCCTGTGCTGGGTTCTGATCATCATCCCATCATCAGGCTCGCTGCACACGGCGCCTTTCCAACCTTCCCTCGACTGATCCGAGGAGCTGGAGGTGGGTTTGGAGCTGCAGCTCTGGCACCAGCCCTTGGTGCTTTCCAGCAGCCAGGAATTCAGCCCTCGACTCGTGGAACTTGGAGTCTGAGCGAGGTTTTCTCCCCCTGGATGATTCTTTTTGCTCTTTGTTATCTGACACTGGAGCAAAAAAAAAAAAAAAACAAACCAAACAAACCCGTCCCGCTCTCTTGGAGTCGGCTGCAGCCAAGAATTTGCAAAGATTTTGGCAGAGCTCAAAGGAAAGAGGGTTTATGATGAAAACTTCTCGACACAATAAAAGAAAATCGTTCAGTGCAAGCTCTGAAGTGACCCCAGAAAAAGCAGTGTAAACCTGCTGCCTCCCTGGGAGCACTGAGGAGGTCTGAGTTAATTGCCAGCAGCTTTAATCTCCATTTCCCTCGTGATTTTCACTCTGGAGTTTTAGATTGACTCTGATTAGCTTGCCTAGAAGATCTGATTCTGTCCCCAATTACTCTCCTATAAATCAGACGAGCATCTTTATTACAGCTGATGAAATTACTGTGGCATGAGCAGAGCAGGGGGATCAGAATCAGCAAAGACCTAAAAAAATTAAATCTGATTGGGTTTTGTCCACACTCATCCTGCTCCTGTGAGTCAGGTGCTTGGGGAGTGTTCAAGCCAAGCATCACTGAAATCAAAACCTGTCTGTGTGTTCCCCTGAGGGAGTTTTCTTTTAAATTCTTGCAGTGAGGGGAGAGAGAATTGGGCAAAACTGAGAGATTTACTGGTATTAATGGGAGAGAAATGATTTATCCCTGAGGAAGGGATAAAGAACTGGAGGAGCAGGGGAGGACCTGAGCATCACCCAGGAGCTGAGTGGGGTGAGAGGACAGCCCTGTTCTCCTGGCAAGGCAGAAATCTTTTCCCAGGTCCCTCCTGTGCCCCAGGTGAGGAGCAGGAGCAGCACCTCCAGCACCACCCTGCCAATCATCCTAATTGAATCTCCCAGCTCTGGCCCTGCAGCTGCTGATTTTCCTGTGCCTCGCACATCTTTCCCATCAGAGCAGAATTAGGAGCGAGTTCTCACCCTCTTATCTGGCTGATAAATAATTGTGGGTTGTGTTGGTGGGAGCCTTTGAACTGGAGCCTTTGGAGAGGCCCCGTGTGAACAAGCAGGGCTTGAGCAGCCTTTAATTGCTGAGCAGGGATTGCCCAGATTGGGAAGCACCAGGAAGGAGCTCCAGGGCTTTGGGAGACGTCCCTGGAGGGCTTGGAAGGGCAGTGAAGTGGATTAATCAGAGTGGGGATGGAGAGAGGAGAAAATCCTTTCTCCTCAGTGGAATAAGCAAAGCAGTGCTGGAAAATCCTCTCAGAGCTGCTGGTTCTGAGTCCATGGAATCCCACAGGGCTTTGGGCTGCCAAAAACCCCTCCAGTTTGGACAGGGACCCCTTCCACCCTCCCAGGCTGCTCCAGGCCCATCCAAGCTGGCCTGGAACATTTCCAGGGATGGGAGGGCGGGATCAAAGCAGCAAACCTTGTGCAGGTTCCCCAGTTTGGCTTCCAAAACCAGTTAAAGGCTTTAGCTGGGGGTTTATAAATCAGCTCCTGGTGCTCTGGTTCCCATTTTAACAGGGCCTTGCTGGGGATGTGCATTTTTCCTTGGATCAGGGAAAGATGACCTCGGGAAGTCCTTGAAACCCAGCAGGGATGAGGCTGGAAGGAGCCCAGCCCTTGCAGGTGCCTGTGCACGTGTTGTCCTGCATTTCCCCAGAGCTTTGGGATTAAAAACCCTGCTGGATGTCTGGGAGCCTCCTCTTTTCCAGGAGATGTTAAAAAAATTAGATTTGCTCCTGGATCCTGGCAGCCCAGGAATGAACCCCGCAATGTGCCAAACACCAGGACAATCCCCAGAGGTCTCCTTGTCCCTCCTGCATCTCCCCCTGCTTTACAAATGAGCAGTAAATAACACAAATTCTAATTACACCTGGAATATTCCGAGAGCTGGTGAGCGTTTTCGCCCTCCAGAGGAAGAACAGGGGGTGTTGATTGATTCCTGTGGGAAATGCTGCCTCTCATGCAACAAAAATATCTCTGCAAGGGTTGGTGGGCCCTCAGTGCTGGCTCAGAAGCCCTCAGGTGACTCCTTTTTATTTCTCTGTGTTTAATATGTTTAATCCATTGGATTTGAGGACTTCCAGCTAAATCCAAATCCAGTGTAGAGGTGCATCCCATATTTTTGGGGTCCTTGGGTTTTTCATCCTTCAGTGGGAATGGCTGGAGAACTTTCTGAGCATCCAGAGGGAGAGAGGGAATAATTGCTGGGAAAGGGGCAGAGATTTGGTGTCACCTCCTGACTGTTCTCTCTGTTTTCCCTGACCCTACAAGGGCTGTGGGAGGCCCAGCTGTGCACAGAGCCCTCACAGACACAGCACCTGCCCCAAAAGGACTTTGTTCTCTGCAAGTGTGCTCAGGGAGAGGCAGGAAAGGGCAGGAGGGGTTTGATTGCTGGGCTGTTCCTCATGGATGAACAACCAGGCAGTTTAACCCCTTCCCACCTATGGGAATAACAGCACCAGGGGAAAAATGGGGATAAAAACCTGCCCTGGGTTGATCCTGGGGTTAATGATGGGTAAAGAATCCTCTGGGGTTTGGTTAAAGCTGTTTGTGGCAGGACAAGGGGCAGTGGATTTAAACTGGCAGAGGGCAGGGTTGGATGGGATTTTGGGGGAGAAATTCTTCCCTGTGAGGCTGGGGAGAGGCTGGAATGGAATTCCCAGAGAAGCTGTGGCTGCTGGAAATGTCCAGGCCAGGCTGGATGGGGTTTGGGGCAGGCTGGGACAGTGGGAGGTGTCCCTGCCATGGGAGGGATGGATGGATGGATGGATGGATGGATGGATGGATGGATGGATGGATGGATGGATGGGCGGGCAGGCTCTGAGGTCCTTTCCAACCTGAAGCATTCTGGAATTCTGGGAAGCCAAGCTTTGCTGAGTGCTGTAATTCTCACAGCATTCTCATTCTATAATTCTCATAGCAGCAGTGAATCCCTCTGAGCTCTCACATTCCTGAAAACAAAATATCACCCCCTGGAGGTGCTGGGGGTGTCTCCAGGAGCTGCCAGTCCATCTCCACAAGGTTCTGCTTTTCCAAAGGGCACAACCTCCTCCAGGAAGTGGAAAAGTGAAATATTGAAGGCAGGAGGGGAAGGTAGCACAAAGATTTCAGGCAGGACATGGGATGGAGATGTTTAAAAGTGGTTTTGTGACTGGCCAGTCCTTCCTGCTGGCTGATCAGCGAGGGTGGGATGTGGAGGAGCAGCAGAGGTGGGAGCAGTCTGTGGAAGCAGCCAAGGTGTCAGACCTGATCCCCACGAGCCTTTAACAGCCCTGACACAGGGAACAGCTGCAGGGACAAATTTCACAAATTATCTCCTCCTTGGCAGATGAGCTTGGTTGGTTTTAGCTGTGCTGCCTCCTCGCTCGGTGGGGGTGAACCTCCACAAGAAGAAGGTCAGAAAATTGCTGGGAAAACATCAGCATTTTGAATTGAGGGTGAGAAATCCCAAAGAGGCAGCAGCCCCGAGCTGCTCTGTGGGTCCTGATGGTTGTGTGAATGTGTGGTCGTGTCCTGAAGATCCTTATCCAGGAGTTTCCTTCTGTTCCTTGAGCAAAAAAAACCCAGGGAATTCATGGATTTGTGCCTGAGTTCCCTGCAAGGTTTTATTCACTGCTTCAAGGTTTATGGATGAGCTTTTGGGGACACAGCAGGCAGAAAATCCCCTACACCCCATCCCCTCCACCCCTTCTCTTCCCTCAGCAATTCCTTCCCTGCAAACGTGGTTTAAATCAGGGATGATGCCACTGAAATTGTGGGGTTTATATCAGGGATGATGGCACTGAAATTGTGGGGTTGAAATCAGGGATAATGCCACTGAAATTGTGGAGTTTGAATCAGGGATGATGGCACTGAAATTGTGGGGTTTATATCAGGGATGGTGCCACTGAAATTGTGGGGTTGAAATCAGGGATGATGGCACTGAAATTGTGGGGTTTATACCAGGGATGATGCCACTGAAATTGTGGGGTTTCCCAAGGCCCCCCAGGCTCAGGTGGGGTGGTGGTGATGGGGGATGTCCCTGGGAGTGGGTTCAGACAGGAGCTCGGGTTCTGATGAAAATTGCAGTTCCAGGATGGAATTTCAGCTCTAGTAGCAAGCCAGCACTGGAAGTTTGGGGTATTTTATCTAAATAAAAAGTGTAAATTACGTGGCAGAGCTCGCTTTGCTGTGCACACAGCCTGGGTGGTGTTAATTAAACCCTCAGCTGCTTTTTTTAGTGGAAGGAAGGCTGAGAAAACGAGCCTTAAATCAAGTCTACATTTAATTAAAGCCTCTCTTCCATTCAGATGCTCTCCCACTATGATAGTGGTGGTGCACTTGGAATGCTGAGGCAGGAGGAATCAACAAGGAAATTGGGTTTGCAGACACAAAATCAAGTTTAAAATGTGGGAATTTTTTGGGTTACATTACAAAACCAGCAGCTTGAGGTAAAACTCCAGATCTCTGCAGGGAAAGGAGGTTTTGGTTTTGGGATTTTAATCCCTCCTTGGAATTTCTTTGCCTCAGAACCAGTGTTTCAGGTGTTTATGTGAATGTTTCATAGTTTTAATTGTACCAGATTCCTGTAGGAACCTCAGGCCAGCCCTTTGTCCCCATTCCTTCTCAAACAAACTTGGGACGGATCCCAAGAGTTTCTGTGGAGGGATGGGTACCTGGCACTGTGGGAAAATTGATATTTAACAAATTTTGGGGTGACTTTTGTCCTCACACTCTTTTTCTCTGTCTCCCTGTAGGTGATAACCCTGGAAGGATGGGTGGACATCATGTATTACGTGATGGATGCACACTCTTTTTACAATTTTATATATTTTATATTGCTTATCATAGTAAGTATGACTTGGCAGATTCTCCTATTCCTTGTCCTTCGGGGGGTGAAGTTGTTCCCTGTTTTTTTCCACAGGGAAGAACCGGGCAGGATTCAGGGCTTTCCCTCTTCTTGCTTTCCAACTCTTGGTCTTGTCACCTGGATGTGTCTGTGCCCAAAAATCCAGATTTTTCCTCCTCAGTGTGCCAGAGGGAGCCTCATTTCTTTAGAGACCCCTCAAACCTTTGAATTTCACCTGGAACCCTTTAAATAATAATAATTCTCATAGCAGCAGTGCACCTCTCTGAGCTCTCACATTCCTAAAAACAAAATATCACCCACTGGAGATGCTGGGGTGTCAGTCAGAAGCTGCCAGTCCACCTCCACAAGGTTCTGGTTTCCAAAGCTGCCAGTCCATCTCCATAAAATTCTGGTTTCTCAAAGGGCACAACCTGCTCCAGGAAGGGGAAAAGTGAAATATTGAAGACAGGAGTGGAAGGTAGCACAAAGATTTCAGGCAGGACATGGGATGGAGGTGTTTAAAAGTGATTTTGTGACTGGCCAGTCCTTCCAGGTGACCCTGTCCTTGTCAGGGAGGGTTTGGAGGCCTTGGGAATTCCAGCCAGTTCCCAGCAGGAGTGGAAACCTGAATGAGAGCAGGGTGAGAGTGCCCTGGAGCAGTCAGGGGTTCCTGAGCTGGAGCAATGGGCCATGAGCAGAGATTCGTGCTCCACTCCACTGAGCTGTTTCTCTCCAAGTGGATCCATGTGGAAAAGGCAGAAGGTGACTCCTGCCCAAGTCACCTGGGGCTGGGAAAGGCACCTCTGCTGCTTCTGTGGCTGCATCCAGGCTGATATTGCAGCACCACAAACCATCTTCACACAGCTCCCCTGAGCATTCACCAGACAATTCCAGGTTCAATCCATCCCTGCCCTGAGGTCACTCCCTTTTCACCCCTCAAGGCACCAATTCCCTGCTGGGAACATTGGACATTTCCCTCTGGCTGATTTAGGAACCAGAGTGGTGAAAAATCGCTTTGTGGGCTCCACAGCTGAGGGGAGGATGCAGCTTTAGGTCACATTCTTGTCCTTGGGACTTGATTTTGAGAGCTTGGTGTCCCCCAAGAACACATCAGCTCACCCAAGGACTGAATCAGCCCCTCTGGAGCACTGAGTGTCCTGGAGATGCTTTTCTGGGTCAGGGAGCCACAGGAGCACAAGGTCACAGATCCATGGGCCCTGACTGTACGCCCAAAATGATTTCACACTCTTTTGGGGTGTGAAATGATTGAAGAAGAGAAGAGGGTGTTTCAAGACTTGAAAACATCTTTCCCTGCAGGTTGGCCAAATTTCAGGGAAAAGTTCTTCACTGTAACAGTGACTGGGCACTGGAATGCTCTGCCCAGGGAGGGGCTGGAGTCACCTTCCCTGGATGGGTTTACAAGACCAAGAGGGGAAAATGTGGCACTCGGGGCTGTCGTTTGGTTGATGAGGAGGTGTTGGGTCATAGGCTGGTCTTGATGATTCCAAAGGTCTTTTCCAAGACCTTTGTGAATGTCCAAAGCAGCGTTGTGCTGGGCACTGTGTGTGTTTCCTACACTTGTGTTAGCAAATGTCTGCTTGGAGGAGAGGAGAGTGGAGCTAAAATCATTGATCATGCTTCAGAACAGTTTAGCAGCTAAGGCACACGTTGGCAGCACGTTTGGTGAGCAGCCCCTGGAATCTGGCACGTTTGGAAATCCCAGGATTGCTGAGAGCCACGTGTGGCAGCGAGGAGCTTCCCTCACTCCGTGCCACCCCTGCTTCTCAGGGCTTCTCCTGGTCACAGTGACCCCAAGATACATCAGAAAGTCTCTTTTCCCAGCCTGGCAGTTGGAGGAGGAGTCAGAACTCTTCAGTTCTCGGTCTCAAGGTTGTTTATTGTTTCTTATCTATAAAATTCTTTCTCCTGTCCAGCCAAGGTCCGCTCAGCAGGACAGACAGAGGCACTCTGGCCGCCCCTGTGGGGGGTGTTATCTTTTTACACTAAAATCTACATATACAATATTTACAATTCCTTTCCAATGCCTATCACCTATGTTAGACAGTGAGCTTCTACTCTAAACCAATCCAAAAGTGCCAACATCACAGCAGAAGATGAAGGCCAAGAAGAAGAAGGGGAAAGACTGGACATGCCCAGATTCCTCCATCTTGTGCCCTGAACCCCCATTCTAAAAACCAAAACAATTTGATTTTTCCACCTTGTGACAAACTAATTATTATTCTACTTATACTTTAGTGGTTTGCAGTTCCTCATATAAGGTTGGTAACTTTTTCCATGGGTCATAATCAAAGTCACAGGTGCCTTGGGCTCTGTGCCAGGGGCTCTGAGCCCCCTGGCAGGGTCCTGGCAATCCAGGACAGCCTGAATTCTGACACCTGCTGACTCCTTGCCCTGTTCTCCCCCCAGGTTGGCTCCTTCTTCATGATCAACCTGTGCCTGGTGGTGATTGCCACCCAATTCTCAGAGACCAAGCAGCGGGAGAACCAGCTGATGCAGGAGCAGCGGGCGCGCTACCTGTCCAACGACAGCACCATCGCCAGCTTCTCAGAGCCGGGCAGCTGCTACGAGGAGCTGCTCAAATACATCTGCCACATCTTCAGGAAGGTGAAGAGAAGGACCATCCGCCTCTACAACAACTGGCAGAGCAAACGCCGGAAAAAAGTCAACCCCAACAGCAGCGGCGGCGGGCAGAGCCAGCGGAGCAGGAGGAGAATCACCTCCATCCACCACCTGATCCACCACCACCACCACCATCACCACCACCACTACCACATCAGCAACGGGAGCCCGCGGGGGCCTCGTGCCAACCCCGAGCTCTGCGAGCTGGAGCTGCAGGTGATGAAGCCGGGCCGGCAGCTGATGCTGCCGCCGCCCGCCTCGCCCAGGCCGCAGGGCCCCGCCGGCGCCGTGCACAGCATCTACCACGCCGACTGCCACGTGGAGGGGCCTCCGGGGGGCTGCAGGGCCGCCAGCAGCCCCGTGGGCACCAAACTGGCTGGGCTGGGCAGCCAGGGCAGCATGAACTACCCCACCATCCTGCCCTCGCCCGGCGGCAGGGCCGGCTCGGCGGCCTTGCCCAAAGGGAAGAAGAACAGGAATTCTCCGGTGGCCGTGGGGAACAGCCCCGGGAGTCTGGGCCTGGATTCGTACGGGAAGCTGCAGCAGCTGGTGGGAGAGCATGGTAAGGGCAACAGAGCTGGGGTTTGTTTGGGAGAAGGGCAAATGGCTCCAGAGTTGAGGTTTTAGTGTGTGGTGCTGAGGGTTGGGATGGTTGGGAGTGTGCTGTGGGACAGGTAAATCCTTGGATTTGCCGTCATGGATGGTGGAGGCCTTTTTGCTGTGGTTACAAAATAAGGGTTTGAGCTCTCATGGAGCTTGAGGTCTGTGGAGGCCTCTGCCATGGTTCCAACATCAGGGTTTGAGCTCTCATGGAGCTTGAGGCCTGTGGAGGCCTCTGCCATGATTCCAACATGAGGGTTTGAGCTCTCATGGAGCTTGAGGCCTGTGGAGGCCTCTTTGCTGTGGTTACAACATCAGGGTTTGAGCTCTCGTGTGCTTTGTGATATCCTGGAGGTGCTCCCACTGTTCCCACCCAATCCCAGAGCTCTGCAGCCCCGGGGATTACAGCTCCAGTGGATGCTGGAGCTCCAGCAGAGAAACCCCCAGGGGTTCTTGAAAAAGATGAGCAGGTGGAATCTGCAGGAGAAGCATAAGATAAAGCAAACTAAGACGTTTAAAACAGGCAGGCACTGAAAGAACTCGAACCAGACACGTCCAGTTCTGCTCTGCTGGGCCCTGGAGCCTCTGAATCTCTTTTTGGCAAGGAGGAGCAGCAGTTTCAGTGCTCAGAGGACGTGTGGAGGGCAGGACAGGAGCAGAGCTGCGCATCTCAGGCTTTCCCTGTGCGCAGAAGAAATGTGGAACTGAGTTTTGCTGTGGATTTGGGGCTCCATTCAGTCTGGGGAGGATTTTGGGGAGCAGTTCAGTGCCTCTGTCCCATCCTCTCTGCACAGATGCAGCCACCCCAGCACAGCCAGGGAGGTTTTATCTCCCCTCACATATAAATCACCCACTGGAGCAGTGATTACACGCAACACTTGGATTTCTATTTTATAAAATGTTTTTCCAGTCCTCGTGGCTGGAGCTAAAAGCTGCAAAATACTCTTAAGCCCTCCAACAGTGAAAAGTCACAAAGATCCAGCTTCTATTTTTTAATCTCTTTAAGCCAAACTCGTCATTTGGTTTTTTCAATGCCTGTGTTTTCCAAAACTGTTTATTTGCGTCTGCATGGACACAAATATTTACCCTGGTGATGGATGTGCTGAAAAAATACCAAGCCTGGCTTTGAGGGGGGTCACAGGGAAGCTTGCTTGACAGAGGGTTTGGGAGGCTTGCCTTTGTTAATTTTGTTGTTTTTAAGGACCACACAAAAGGGTAAAAGTGGATTGTTTATAGAAACTGCCTCGGGCAGACGCTTCCGAACGCTCGGGAGCTTGGCACGGGGGGCAAGGTTACTGCCAACAGTTCTGTTGTTCAGCAAGGACTTTTTATAAATCACTGCTTCATCCTTAGCTGTGCCAATTAGTGAAGGTTTTTAGGAGAATGCGTTTTTACCTTGAGATAAAAACCCAGGCTCTGCAGAAGGCTGGAATTGGGAAAGAAAGGAGCAGGAGAGCTGTTGAAGTCAGAGTTTGGATCCTCCTGCTTGCTGCTGGGGTCCTTTTTAGGAGAAGAAAGACCCAAATCTCAGTCCCAACTGTGACATCCCCGAGCCAACTCGGTGATTTAGGAGATTTTCCCGCAGCCTGGGGTGGTTCTTTGAAAGCTGGGATTAGATTGAGTTGTCATTAATAATGCAATTACAGTGTCCTCTTTCCACAGAGGGATTTCAGCCCAGAGGTTGCCAAAATGCTTTAAACAAATCTCCTGGAATTGTTTTGTCTCTTCCAGAAGTGTGCTCACAGCTGGGAAGGGCTGGAAGGTGGGGAGAGGCTGCTCATCCATCCCCTGAGGGAAACGGGATGGGGAGGGATTCAGGACAGACCTGGAGACCCTGTGAGTGCCCATGGATCTTCCCTTCCATGGATCTGCCTCTTTCCAGGCCCTTCTTCCCACTCAGCCACTCCTGCAGGGCTGGGTCAGGGTCAGTTCTGTACCAGGGGTGCTGGATGTGGCTTCCAGGGGTGCTGGATGTGGCTTCCAGGGGTGCTGGATGTGACTTCCAGGGGTGCTGGATGTGATTTCCAGGGGTGCTGGATGTGACTTCCAGGAGTGCTGGATGTGACTTCCAGGCTTTGGGATGAAGTGGAAGGGTGGAAGTCTGCCAGGCACAGCCCTCAATTCCCATTTCTCCATCCCTAAAACTCAGCAAAGGAGCCACGAGCAAGAACCCCAAGCTCTCCCAACCCTCCCTCAGCCCTTTTTTGGGGAAACAAAGAGCCTTTAATTCTCTCTCTTTTTTTCCCAAGCCAACAAGCAGAGCGTGTTCAGTGCAAGGCTAGTGCAGGGAGAGCACAGAAGTGCTAATTGAGAGCTTTAAGGAGCATTAACAGCCCGGGCTCTCCCAGCCCCAGCTGGAAGCCAGGTTGGTGTCTGCTGGGAAGGATGCAGTGGTGGGAGAGAGCATTCTCCTGCCTCTTTTGTTGTGGATTTGAAGAGCTCCGAGTACAGCTTGTTCCCCGTGTTCCCGTGCCCTGCAATGCTGGAGGTTATTTTAGCAGGCAGCCAAGGAGACTCTGGTATTTTGAAGACATCTGCGGCGCCAGGGCTTTTCATATCGTTTTTAACACTTTGATAGCATTAGAAGCCATCTGGCAAACCCCCTCCCTGTGCTGCTCCTGGGGCTGGGCTGAGCCTTCTCCCCCCTTGGCTCAGTCCTGAGCAGGAGCACCGTGCAAGGGGCAAAACATTCCCGATCCTGGCTGTGGCCGTGACGCAATGCCCAGGAGCCAGGCACGTCCTCCAAGGCCCTTCTGAAGGCCACTGATACCCATGTGACATTCAGGCAAGGAAAATGTGTTTTGACTCTTGTCACATCCTGGTTTTCCAGCGAAGGGATGCGTTGGCTTGGTTCGGAGCTGGGGCTGGAATCAGCATTCCTGCTGGGTGAGCTCCAAGCTCCAGGGCTCAGAGCCAGGAGCAGCCACTGCTTCAAAATTCATCCAAGTGGTCGCCATCCCACCTCCACTTATGAGGGATATGGCACTTATGGATGTGGTTTAATGGACTTAGAGGTGAACTTAGAGGTCTTTTCCATGGTTCTGTGAGAGGGGAAAATTGTCCCTTTGCCTCATGTCCCTGAATCTCAAGGAATTGATGCTTAAACGGAATTCTGTGGGAAGCATCCTGTGCTCATGCCATTAATATCTGGTTGCTAAATATAAGGAGACTGCGAATAAGATTCCTAAATATGAGGAAACTTAAGGACTGGATTCCTAAATATGAGGAAATAAAATCTGGGTGCTGTTCCACCCAAATCATCCCAGTTACTCTTGTCCCTGTCCTTCCATTCCCTGGTTCCAGGACAGCCAGCATTTTTCCTCACACCACAAAACATGTGTTTGATTTTAAATCCCCCTGAAGGCTCAGCCCTGTGCCTCAGACAGCGAATCCACCTGAGCTTTATTAAAAGCTGAAGGAGACAGAGGGGACTTGGTGACTCTCTGAGCTGTGATCCCAGCAGCCACCTTTGGTCCCTTCTCCCTCTCCCTCCTCATTAGGAGCTAAATGGCAGTGGTGGCTAAATTGGGTGGAACAGCTTGATAGCGCTCAGAGATCGTTAATGATGGGAGCTGCCCAGGGATAATCAGGAATAATGGGAAGGGAGGGATGGCACCGTCACTCTTCCCTCAGCCCAGGACACAAAATGAGGGCCACGCTCCGTGGAGAGCCCATGGAGGGGGTAGAGGGTGGGAAAAGAGGGGAAGAGGGGAAAATGAGGCAACCACCAGGGCTGCTTGGGAGGATAGAGGGACGGAAGGCTTTTTTAGGGTCTGGAGAATAATTCCTGTGAGGAGCAGCTGTGGTGGCTCAGCCTGGAGAAAAGGAGGCTTGGGGGGACTTTCTGGCTCTGTACAGCTCCCTGACAGGAGGGGACAGCCAGGGGGGTCAGGCTCTGCTCCCAGGGAAGAACAGGACAAGGGGGAATGACCTCACGTTGGCATGTGGTGGCTCATGGTGGCACCCAGTGTGTACTGGCTCTCTGTGGCTCTTGGTGCATGGTGGCTTTTGGTGCACAATGTCTCATGACACTCAGTGGCTCTTGGTGGCTCTCAGTTGCCCATGGTGGCTTTTGGTGCACGATGGCTCTCAGTGGTGTCTTGCAGTGGCTCATGGCCCACGGTGGCTCCTGGTATCTGGTGGCTCTCAGTGGTGTCTCGTGGTGGTGGCTCTCAGTGCATTGTGGCTTTCAGTGGTGTCTCTCAATGACTCTTGGTGGCCCATGGTGACTCTCAGTGTCTGGTGGCT